GTGTCCTGTCCTGGGTCCCCTCTCCCCCTCGGACTGCAGTAATTTGGCCCCTAGAGTGGTTGTCTCTTCCACCCAGGGAATCTGCTCAGGTGCAGGCAAAGGGTCCCACCCATCCTTTTCTTCCCGGGGCTGGCACACTTCTTGGCCCAGAGTGTTTTGAAAGAACGAAGGGCCAACTCAAGTGCTCTAAAAAGTAAAACTCCTAATTGTTTTAAGACAATGGTTTATTTTGAACCCACAATGGTATTTTCCTGCTTATGCACTTTCAAGCTCACTGGGTTATACTCTGAAATACCTTTTATTTTCTACAGATCTACATCATCCTCAAAGGATGGAGATTTGTCACCACTAAGTATAAATGAACACCTGGTTTCAAAATCAATTCCCTCAGATGAAAGAAAGAGGAATGAGGCACCTAAAAGGCCCCAGGCACAGTTAAATCCTTTATGAACTTTTTCTCATGGAATTTGCATCTCATGGAATTTGTGAAGTAGGTGTCATCAGGCCCATTTTACAGATTAGGAAATGGAAGTCCAAAAAGCTAAGTCACATGTCCAAGTCCACCAAGATGGAAGATAGAAATTCTTGGCAATTCAACTCAGGCTTGCATTTGTGGAATGATTCTGCCACTTGCAAGTGTGGCTACTTGGAAAGAAGCAACATTCATCAGTCTGTATAAAATATGGCATTGACAGTGCCTTGTACATATGCAGTAGGGGACTTACATATTCAGCTGTTGAATGAATACAAAACATTGCACAACATTATCTTATATCCCTATGCACAATGTGTACAGACACACATAATTTCAAGTCTGTATATACATACACAATGAAAAAGAGATTTATTGAACCATATGGGAGGGGGGAAAAAACCCTGACTCAAATTTCTGCCAAGTCTGTAAGTTTAGAAATGGTAATTCCATTTACCATATGGGAGGGGGAAAAAAACCCTGACTCAAATTTCTGTCAAGTCTGTAAGTTTAGAAATGGTAAGGTAATTCCATTTACTTTTAGTGGATTGTTAAAAATTTCCTTACATTGTTGGATAGCTCCTTTTCTCTCAGGTAGATCTGGAATCTGAGGGCAGATGACCCCACATAGAGCAACATAAAAACATTTGTTGAAATACAATGAAATGGTTCCAAACCACCATGCTCTTATGTGACAGTTCCATTTTCCGCCTGGTCTATCGTCAGCTCTGCTCTGGGATGTTGGCATCTGTCTCACCAAGGTCCACATGACTCAGTTTGTGGGGGGATGTAGGCAAATAGATGATCTATTACACACTAGCTGAGGAAGGACTGTGATAATGCGTGAATGACACTTGTACAATAGGTTTGTAAAGAACTTGCTCCTTTCATTGCCTTCAAAGAAGCCCAGCCAGCCCACAGAGGCTACTCTGGTATAGGGTGACCTTCCTTAACAAATATAGCACAGTGCTTATAAACCCAGATTCCACAGCCGGAATGCCTGCGGGCAAAAGCTAGTCAATGACTGTGTGAATGAACAATGGACCCCAGTAAATACTCTGCATTACACTGAACAGTCCCTTTATTCCTATTTGACCAGGGCTGCTGCTGCTACTATTACTACCACTACTGTTACGACTGGAACTACTACACTTCCTCCTCCTTCCCCCTTCCTCCTCTTTCTACCTCTCCTCCCCCTCCTTCCTCGTCTTCATTTGCATTTTGTTATGTTTGTTACTATTTGTGTCAAAATGATACAGAGGAGTAGTTCCAAGAATCAAATTGTGCTGAAAGTTTTGTTACAATATAGCGACAATCCCTATCACTTTCTCCTTGATTTCTCCCTCTCCGTCCATTTCTCTCTCCCAGGCTATAATTTTGGTATTTAGCTCCTTATCTTGAAATGACCGATGTACAGGACTCCTTGACTTTTCAATTTCCGGCTCTATCTGCTGGCTTCCCACTATGGAAGATGAGTATGTAGCAGTCTTTCCTTTGTGTGTCCCCGCAAGACACACTCATCTTCCCATTTCCTCACTTCCCCTAATGGGGTATTGTTGTAGTTTTGGTTAGGTCAATTTTTAGGGGTTAGGTGATTATGACTACGCATGCTACGCAGAGATGATTCATGTAGCAAATTGTATGATATGCAATGTCCTGTCCAACACTTTCATTCCCTGGAGTTAAAAATTATCTTCTATTTATTGCTGAGTTTTTTCCCTGAACTTCTCATTTATTCAACTTCAGATTCTTTGCCAAATAAATAAATATCTCAAGGCAGCCAGATGTCTTAGGAATTCTATCAGCTCGCTCTTCCTAAAGAAGTCTCTCCCAGGGACTTCTGATCCGACTCCAATCAGAACTGGTCATGGTCTACACCGCAGGCACAGCTGACATCCTTGACCCACCCATCATCCGGAAGATTTCCTTTGCCTCTCTCTTCTTTGCTGGAGCTCCAGCTTTCCGTATTCCATTTCTTCCTCCTTGATTTAGTCATTCATTTTAGTGGAGTCCATGTCATTTTCTAACAGCTACTTGAGAAAAGGTATATGAGAAGTATATTTTTTGAGACCTTGAACTTGTGAAAACGTACATCTCACATCTGATTGATAAGCATGTTTCCACTGCCTTCTGGTGTTTGATAATCCCAAACTATTGTTCTACAGTGCAAGCTTATTGGATCCAAAGTTTGTTTTGATGTATGTCTGTTTCTAGTCACTGTATCCTTGATGGACCCTTCAGTCTGGAAATTCATATATTTCAGGTCCAGGAGATTTTCTTTATTTCATTGATGATTTCTTCCCCTATGTTTATGTTTTCTCACTTTTCTTTCTTCCCTCCCTTCCTTCCTTCCTTCCTTTCTCTCTCTCTCTCCCTCTTCCTTCCTTCTCTCTCTCTCTGATACTGAACTTACTGTACTGGTCCTCTAATTTTCTTATGTTTTCTTTTTGTCTTTTTATTCTACTGTGCACAGGATATCTTCAAGCTTTATCTTCCAACACATTTATCTTTTGAATTTTTCATTTCTACATTCATATTTTTAATTTATAAGAGCTCTGATCTGATGTTTGTCCTTTGAATTTTAAATACACATAGTACTTCTTATTTTACGATTGCAAACATCTTTTCATCCCGCTGAAAATACTGATCATAGCTCTTTTCATAGTGTCTTCTCCTGGCAGAGTCTCTGTTTATTCCAAGCCTTTTTTCTTTTTCCATTTGACTGCGTGGCTCTCACTCTTCATGTTAGAAGATTTCTCTGGATGTCTGATAATCTTTAGTCATCACTAACTTAGTTGGGAGCTTATAACAAATGAGCAGGGCTTGCTGACCCTGAACTATGCTCCAAGGGTCTTGGGGAACTTCTGATGTCTAAATCTCTTTCCTCTTGGCTCAGCCAAACCCCCACTGAAATCATTCAGGTGTCCATTCAGGAGGAGGAAGGCCTGAGCCCAGCTGGAAGTGGGGAGGGTGTGTTATCTGAGCATCTGGTATGGATGCATCTACTTAGTCGTGCTATTTTCAGTACCATATCCCAACTCAAGAGGCTTGATGTCTTTCAGTCCAGACACTCTCTATTTTACTCTCCTGAGGGAACAAACCTTCAGTCTTCTGCTTGGAAGAGGAAGGGACAGCCATCCAGTTATTCAGGATGGGTAAGCAGATTGGGGGTTCTCAATACATCCTAAAAGGCTTTCAAACAATGAACCTCATTTTAGCCTCTCTTTTACCCCCTCTTCCTCCTTCCATCGATACTGATGACTCCCCATTCCTGAGCCTTGCGGGGGATTCTTTAGTGCCTATCAATTCATGGTTCTTCTCAGGGACAACTCAAAATTCAGTTTCTGGCGTCCTAAGCCATTTACTACTCTACATCTTCTTTCTAATCCCCCGCCCCACCATGTTTTGCTATAGTCTCCTCTTTAGTTTTCCCCATCCTTGTGAATTTACCATTTTTCAAACCCTCCTTACTGTCAATTTATGGAGATTTTAGAAAGGAGGAACTGTAAGTGTGTGTGTGCACGTGTGTATGCTTCATCTACCGTCTTTAGTCTCAAGCTCAAGATTTTGTCTTTCCCAAGTCCTCCAAAACTGTATAAGTTAGAAGAAGATCCACTAGGCACAGTGCAAGACGATGGGTGAACAGATTTGGAGCTACTCACGCTGGCCCCCTCCTCTGTGGTCAGAGATAGGACTTTATTAATGAAACCATTGCTTTCTTTCTTTCTTTTTTTTTTTTTTGCGGTACGCGGGCCTCTCACTGTTGTGGCCTCTCCCGTTGCGGAGCACAGGCTCCGGACGCGCAGGCTCAGCGGCCATGGCTCACGGGCCCAGCCGCTCCGCGGCATGTGGGATCTTCCCGGACCGGGGTACGAACCCGTGTCCACTGCATCGGCAGGTGGACTCTCAACCACTACGCCACCAGGGAAGCCCAAACCATTGCTTTCTGAAGCCTCTCACTGGCCTCCTGCCTCTGCAGTCAAACTTGCCTTGCTCACCAGGTTGGATGTGGTGGTGCTGTGCACAGGCAGGGAGAAGCAAAGGCCCTGAGGAAGCAGCAGAAACTCAGAGCTTATATCCAAAGCCCAGAGCCAGCACTGAAGCTTCCCAAGAGGAAGAAATCCTCCATGATACACAGCACTGATTTCAAAGTAAGGAAAGGAATAGAGAAGAATCCCTCACATTCCCATCTCATGCCACTGTGATTTTTCTAACCTGACGCTAGAGGGACAGAACATTCCAGCCTCCCAAAGACACACCAGAATGGAGAAGCAAAGGCCGACCACCAGCCATGTCTCTAAGCAGTGGGGTACCAAGAGAGGAGGTTACACAGGCAGTGGGATTGTTCCACCTCGATGCACGTGACAAGGGAGTAGGTAGAGAAGGTAAAAGCAATAAAGCTGTTCTGCTTTTTATGATCTCCATGTACTGCCACTTCTAAAGAATGTCAGTGAGAAAATACTCTCGATGGTCGCAGACTCCTCCCATCACACCCTACCCCCCAGCATCCCTCCAGCAGCCTGGTTACCTGTGGATGATGTGATACCTCTGCAGATACTCCAGGGCGAGGGCTAGCTCGCAGATGTAGAGCTTCACGGCCCCCTCTGTGAAATGTACATTCTGTTGCAGGTGATAACGTAGATCCCCTCCCAGCAGTAGGTCCACCACCATGAACATGTCCTCCTCGTCCTGGAAGGAGTACCTAGGAGCACCGAGGGGCAGAGAAAGTTAGGGATGGAGATGGCTCCAATGCCCTCAAGACCAATGCCCCCATTTTACAGAAGAGCAAACTGAGGCTCAGAGAGAGGCACTGATGCTGCCCAAGTTACAGTGTTCTATGACACAGCACCAGTCCTCTGGCTGACAAATGGCACTTGAACCAATACTGGACTCCAACATGTTACTTTGTTTTTAGCATATGTTTTAATTAGATGTTGTCGGGACTTAAGTAGCTGGTCTCCAAAGCTGCAGCCCCTTCTCCACTCATTACCCTGTCCTCCCCACACATGCCGCTCCCCACAAGGATCTTGTTTCTGCAGCCCTTGAAGGCAGTGATGCTCTGGTAAGACACATCCAGGCTTTAAGGGAACTGGCACTTTCTACTCACGTTGCTTCTCAGAACCTGGCCAGAGCCCAAGCCCTATGGAGAGGCCACGAGAAGGAAAACCAAGGCGCTCTGTTCAAGAGCCCCAGCTGAGCACTCAGTGACAGCCAACGCCAACCAGTAGCCGTGAGAGTGAGCCACCTTGGGAATTTGGATATTCTGCTGCAGTCCCAGCTGACATCACATGGAGCAGAAGAGCCGCCCCGATAAGCCCAGTCAACTTATAGAGCATGAGATAATGAAATGGTTGTATTTTGAGCCACTAAGGTTTTGAGTGTATTTTCCCCACAAAGCAACAGAAGTTGCACTTAGTCCTTTTAAGGGCTGAAGCACCAACATAAAAAGCCTGAGAATGGCGTTAAACAATTGTAAACTAGAATCACGTCATAAAATGTCGTCACATTCCATACAGAACCATGAACTGTAATAAGGGCATCACAGAATGACAGGATGTTGTCTTGGATGCTTAGATCTGTGTCTCAGATCCTCGACTATTAGACCTGGGCCAGCCAGGCCATTCCCCTCGTTTGACAGAAGAGGGAAGAAGGGCCTCAGTGAGCCACCGTCAGGGTGAAAATAAGACTCAGAACCCCCACTCTCATCGAGCTCTTACAACCACACACTGCTGAGATGCTGCTGTAACATGTACTTGCTGTGTTTCCCTGACCTGAGCATGCAGCCCTGAGGAGGGAGCCCGACTCAGCCACAGAAGAGGTGACAGGCCATGTGCTTACGGGATGAGGGATTCCAGGGGTGGAAGGAACCTTAAATGCCATCTAGTCCCACCCGCCCTGTATTACAGAGACTGGGATCCAGAGAGAGAAGAAATGGCTGCCCAAGTGTCACAGTTCTCCTTGTATGTCTCACCTGCTGTTTATACGGGTCAGGATCAAAGCAAGGAGGAGGGGGGTGATATATTGTGACCCCAAACTGTAAATTTACCAGATGTTTACAGAGTACCCGTCCTGTGACAGGCATTGGGTGGTGTGCTGGGGACACTGGGACAAAGCAATTGTCCTCACTCTGAAGGGGCACACAGTCCCCTAGGAGAGAAGGGCTAAGTCAACAGTCAGTGGTCATGCAGGGGGACAGGGGCTCTAGAAATCTCTCTGGGGTGCAGTGGGCATGTGGAGGGAGGAAGTCAACTCTCCAGCAACTGAGGTGGGTGGAAAGGTCTTTGCAGATGAAGGGTACCCTGGGTCTGGGACACACAGGGACTGTGACCCAGACAGAAGGATAGCATGAACCTTCTGGTGCTGGGAGTCCAGGACTCTGTAGGGTCTTGGGGACAGCACCTCCCATCCCCCCAGTTTCAGCATCTTAGCCACTGACAATCCAAGGGTGATAATGCAGACCGGCTTCTTCCATTCTCTTTCAGGCTCACTTCAGGGCTGGAGCCGTGGCTGCCTGCCCTGGCAGGAAAGAGGTGGTCCAGGGGCTTGTGGGGGTGTCCAGGGCCGCCTGGAGGGCAACAGCTGGACTTTATATTTGGTTCAGGACAAGTATGAGCTGTGTGGTGCGCGATCACTGCTCCAATTGATGCATCGCAGGAGTTGGATGCTCGTGAAGAGGTTAGAAAATAAAGCTTGCCCAGGAGCCTTGCCCAAGGTAGGCTCCCAGCCTGGAGGCACTGGCCTTTTCCAGACACTATTTTTTCTGGGTGGACTATCTGGGCCCATGTGAGGATGGAGAGAATCAAACAAAGATGCTCTGGACACACTGGAGCGTGGAGCAGGTAACAAAGGGCCTCCTTAGCGAACACTGTAAAAGCCACGCTTCAATCTGTCTTTCAACATGGTCATAGCCATCTGTATTAACCTTTTCTCTTTCATGGCAATTTTAGAATAAATGTATCTGGTTTCTTGAAAAACTCTGACTTTTGTTGGAATTATGTTTAATTTACAAATTAAAGAGAATTAGCATTTTTACGATGCTGGAACTTTCCAACCTTTCCATGAACATGAAATATCTATTTATTCTGGTCTTCTTTTTATGTTTGTCAATTAAATTTTATAATTTTCTACTTAAGGGCCTGGCATGTATGCATTTTTTTATGACTTTAACTTTTTATTCTATATTGGAGCATAGGTGATTAACAACGTTGTGACAGCTTCAGGTGCACAGCAAAGCGACTCAGCCATACACGTACAGGTATCCATTCTCCCCCAGACTCCCTCCCCATCCAGGCTGCCACATAACACTGAGCAGAGTATTCTGATATTTTAAAATAAATTTTATTGCTATTGTGAAGATAATCTTTTAAAGTAAGGTGCACTAAATGGTCATTGCTAGGGGAAAATACACTCCGGAATTGCTTATGTTTATCTTAAATCTAGCAGCTTGGCTGACTTCTTAGTTATTAGTTCTAATACCTTGCATATATTTTTTCCACTTATTACATGAAGATGATTATGTATTCTACAAAAAACTGCCATGTTTATACTCTTGCGATCCTTATGCTGTTTACTTTTTCTTGTTTTATTTTACTACCCAGGACCTCCAGTAAAACATTGATTATAAGAGGTGATGCTGGGCATTTTTATCTTGTTCTGGAATTTAGTAAACTGTTTCTCCAATAAGTAAATTGTTTGCTGTAGATATTTGATGGATATCATTTATCCAGTTAAGAAAGTTGCTTTCTAGACTGCTAAGAATTTTTATCGGATGGGTTCAAAGGTTTTATTTTATTTTTTTTACATTAAACTGTCTTTGCATTTCTAGTCTAAACCTTACTTGATAAACACACACATATATATATGTATATCTATATACATATATATGTGTATCTGTGTATTATATATAACATATATAATAATTAATAAATATATAAGTCTATATTTATAATATATATTTTAATTTATAACATATAATATAATAATGTATAATAAATATATATAAGTATATTATATATAACATATACTATATATATGTGTATATATATATATATATATATATATTTTTTTTTTTTTTTTTTACTGGGTTCAGGTTTATTCATTTAGGATTTTTGCATCAAACGTTCCAAGTGACACTGGCCTATATTTTCCTACCTTTGTCCTGACCCTGTTTTGGTATCATGGTAATACTGGCTTTGTATGATGAAGTGATTTTGTTCTGTCTATGTTCAAGAAGAGTGGGGCTTCCCTGGTGGCACAGTGGTTGCGAATCTGCCTGCCAATGCAGGGGACATGGGTTCGAGCCCTGGTCTGGGAGGATCCCACATGCCGCGGAGCAACTGGGCCAGTGAGCCACAGCTACTGAGCCTGCGCGTCTGGAGCCTGTGCTCCGCGACAAGAGAGGCCGCCATAGTGAAAGGCCCGCGCACCGCGATGAAGAGCGGCCCCCGCTCACCTCAACTAGAGAAAGCCCTCGCACAGAAACGAAGACCCAACACAGCAAAAATAAATAAATTAATTAATAAACTCCTACCCCCAACATCTTCTTTAAAAAGAAAAAAAAAAAGAAGTGTACAAGAGACATCATTTGCTTGTAGCAAGTCTGGTGTCAAAGCGCCCTCCATTCCCCCACTTAAAATTCACCTGGGACTCTCCCCCCTCACTTAAGGCACACCTGCTGGAGCCGTCTGATGGTTCCTGCTCCCCACTCTCAACAAAAGATGACAACATGACTAGAAAGTTTACGCGCGTCCTCTGGCCACTGGTGTTGGTTCATCAGGCCCCCTCAGAGTGCTCCTGGGGTCAGTGTGTGGATGAGGACCTTGCTCTAGGTGTGCTCAGCTAGAAGCTGTAACTGAGGCTGTCTAGATCCTGTGGCCCAAAATGAAGTTAAGACCCATCTGTAGAGTGAAGCTGCAGAGAGTCAAGCAGGGCTGAAGGGCTGAAAACAGAGAGAGGCCCTGCTGGAGGTGAGGGCTCCAGCCTGGGCGGAAGAGCGGTCTGTCCCTGAACTTCCTATTTACATAGGCAATGACTGTACTTTTTGATTTAAGCTACTTAACACTGTGTTTCTGTCACTTGGAATTGAAAGAGTCATCTGATGCATCTTTCCACGTATTTGCTACTGGAGATAAGGGTTTAGATGCTCAGAAAGAAATGACAGGAATCAGCTGTAATACGCTCCTACAGATGCTCAGTTTGTATTCTCATAGTTGATGGACTATTGAAACGCCGTGTTAATGACCAGTGAGTTCTTGCACCCTCAATTCACAGCTAAACTGTCAAAGGGAATCTCATTCAGTATTCCATCAGAACTTTTTGGAGGAGCAACATGAATTTTCAGGGGAGAAACTTGCAGACCAGAATGAATTCTAAAGAGAAAATCCCAAATGCAAAGATATCGATAATTTAGGCAATAACTCAGATTATGGATTTTTCTCGCTGCAGATCCATCGTCACCCTGGACCATGGACCCTATATTCTCCAGGAGACTCAATGTTATTATCGGAGAACAGAGAATGACCTTGCATTGATCTCTCTGTAGTTTTGTGCCGTTCCACAGCTCTGTGCCATTGTCTCTTTTGCTTCTTATTGGACTGGAATTATAATTATGTTCTCATGATGCCGTTGCATATTGTCATGGAAATGATGGAGATCACAAATGAAAAACCTGCACTTGATTGCAGTAATGCTGACCATGGAGAA